TTTAAATTTCTAAGCATGCAAATCATGGAGAATTGCTCTNTTTTTTTTGAATAGTCAGGTCTGCTCGAGGTCAGGAGACCGTAGACTGACTGACTACATTTGTTTATTTACTTCTACACTATTGTCAAAACTGTCACTGTTACCAAGCCTACTGGGTATAAAAAAAATTTGAACATTTGGGGAAAAAACCGCGTTTTTCAAGTATTCGGCAAATTTTTTCAGTATTTTTAAGACCCTATACTAAACTCGTTGCRGAGACARATMCAAYAAATCARAAACMATGAAAATTGGTTCAGCCCAAATCAAGTTATAAGCAGTCTTCACTTTTACACAACTTTCTTTTATATATATAGATTAAAAATAAAAAGGTCGATAAAATTTAATTGACTTGGCTTGTGTTGAAATAATCTTTAGGCAACATTTTTAGGCACTCAAGTGTATAAACAAATCAATGCAAATATCCATTTTTATTTATTTTTTTTAAGCTGAGCCTTACATTTCTACTGCATAATATTTATTGGTCACGAATTTGACTTCCTTTTTTTTTTTTTTTTTAATTTGACTTCCTGAATGCGAATTTATTTTATGTAGCATACTTTGCAGAGCATTTTGATTTTTAGCCATTTTGCTAATTTTCTTTTAAATAACTTCGCACCTTTAATTTGTAATTTTTAAAAAATTGATAGCAAATATTCAGTCAAAAAAAATTAAACTATTTTTAGATTTTAAAATTTTGCATACATTTTGTAAATTATTGTCAAATTTAAGAATTTTTAATTTTTAAAAAAGTAAATTTATTTTGTGGAATAATTTTGTTTATTATTGGACATATTTATTTAAAGTAAAATTATAAATGTGCCTTTATTTATAGAAGAATTTTGTTTCTGGTAGGATATATTTATTTAAAGTGAAATGTGATATTCTTTAGAACTGTAAACATTTAAAGGAATACTTTACCAAAAATGGCAAATAAAAAACCGGTATAATTTGCAAAATTATTATTATTTTTACCAATAACGTGTTCAATGACTTTAACACAATTTTTTAATTTTTTATTGTATTTATATTTATTTATTTCAGTCTGCTAATCAGTTTAGTAAGTTTATTTCCTTGTCTAGTCTTCAAATAAACTGTAAATTCCAGTGCTTCTAAAGTGATTGTAATAAAATTTTGCTAAACATTCCTAAAAGTGAAGTCAATTTATTAGACTTTAATGTATTACAATAACAAGCTTCTCCACAAAAAAAAAAAAAAAAAAAAAAAAAAAAAAAAAATTGCATAGGACTTCAAAACAAATTAAATTTATGCCAACAGAAAAACTTTCTTAGATACACATTACCTATTGCATATTTGAAAATTTTATAGATCAATGGAAATTCTGAAAATGTTGTTTTGGGCTCAAATGTTTTCCAATCAGCTGCAGGAGTTGATGTTTGCTCTTGCTGCTGCAACAACAACTAACCCACTTTTCAACTGCTGTTTTTCTAGTGTTTTTCATGGTTTTCTTCCTCTTTCCCTGTGACGTTACATACCAGCAAATCCTAATAACAAGTTTCCCATTTGTTTAGCCTAGTAAAAAAAAAAACAACAAAAAAGGAGTAGAAATTGCTTAATTCTCGAGTTTTCCATATGACTTTGGCGCCCATAAATTTGCTTTCAATGCACTGCTCTGGCTTACACCGCACCACATTCGCTCTGCCGCCCCACATTCGCTCTGCCGCCCCACCCCGCCCCCATCTCTCGCTCTCTGTACACTGTCAATTGTTTGCTGTCTCGGAACTTGTGCGTTCTGAGTTTCCCTTCCGGGGCTAACCTCACAGATGCCACGCAGATTTGACTGGGAATTCAATAAAGTTTGGCAAAATATTATGCCCGACTAAGCCGCCATATTCTGGTTGCCACGCCCTCTTTTTGCAATCGCTGTTTGTACGTGCCGCACAAAAGTTTTCAGCCATTTGGCAAACGGGGAAGAGTTTGTGTATGTGTGTGTGTGTGTGTGTGAGGGAGAGAGAGAGAGAGTTGGGAAACCCTTTCGCCGGAATAAAACTCAAAAAGTCATAAAGATTTGCCTTCGCGTTTGTTAGCAACGGCTGCAGCGCCCTCTGGCGGCCAATTGATATATGGTCTGGTTTATCTGAGCGCAAGGTGTGCGACTTTCTCTTATAAACTTACTGATAAAAATGCCGCCGTTCAAGTTTGCGGATAAGCGGTAAAGCAGTCGCAACTAGTTTTCGCCAGGAAAATTGGAGCAGCAGCAGATTTTGTAGGAATATGGGAAGCTGTTTATATGCTGAAATGGAAATTGGAATGTGGGAATATTTGAGGATATTCATTTGTATACTTGTAAAATATAATAAGCATGGATCTGAATATGAAAATATAGCTAGGTATAACATAATTGGAGTGTAGAATTTAGAGAGGTCTTTTGCTATTAGATTTTAAAATAAAATATTAAAATGTTTGCGTGGTCATCCATGACTGAAAATGTTTAGAAATGTATAGATTAAATATTTAAAAAAATATCAGCTATTTATTATTAACTCTCAGATGATACTGAGCTAATATTAATTTTAAATCAGTTATTTGTGGATTCGAAAGCAAAAAATTTAACTAATGTAATCCGTAGTATGGCAACTGATACAGAAAAAGAAATAATTTTTAGATATGAAACAATAAAAATTGTATTTTGTTTATTTTATAAAAATTATTTTTAGATGTGAATCAATAAGAAATTTTTGTTTATTTTTAAAATTTATGTAAAGTATGGGATTTTTTAAAGCTAATTATTTTACTCGCGTTATTCACTTATATTTTATTTTACGAAAACATAAAATAAGTACATAATATTCACAAAATATATATCAGTTTTATAT